CACTGATTCTTTTAGAACTTAAAGAAAACCTTCCTCTCTCCAGACTGATGTTGCTGTTGTATTGCCAGGTGCCATTGAGTCCATTCAAACTCATGGTGACCCTGTGTACAACAGAGCAAAACACTGGCGGTCCTGCACCATTCTCATAACCGTTGTTAATCTTGAGCCCATTGTTGCAGCTACGGTGTCAATCCATCTGGCTGAGGGGCATCCTCTTTTTTACTGACCCTCTAGTTACAAAGCATAATGTCCTTTTCCAAGAACTGCTCTCTCCTGACAACAGGACCAAAGTACAAGAGGCGATGTTTTTGGGAGAAAGAAGGGCTGTGTATGCACAGGGAGATAGCTCAGGAGGCAGGAGTGCATGGAGGAATGGACACAGGGAAGAGGTAACTATGGGAAGTGGGAGGGGAGCTGTTGCATTGTGATAAATTGTAGTCAATGTTATGAGACAAAGTGTATGTGAACTGCTGTATGGAAAGTGAATTTGCTCTGTAAACTTTCACCCAAATCACAATTAAAAAAAAAAAAAGGCAATGTTTAGGTTACTTCTGCCATTCTAACAGAAATACCATAGGTGGATGGCTTTAACAAACAGGGATTTGTTTACAGTTTAGGAGGCTAGACGTCCGAGTTCAAAGTGTCAAGCTCCAGGGGCTAAGTGAAAGCCCCTTGACCTTGGGCTTCAGCTCTGCCTCTTGCTCCCAGTCCACTGAAGCTGGAGGCTTTTCTTAACTCAGGCAGCTGCTGGCTGCTGAGGTTGGCAAACCCAACGTCAACAAGTAAAAAGGCACAGTCCCAAAATAACCAAACACCATGCCAGACAAGGTCAGCAGACAACATGGCAGCCTGCTGAATGACAGCTCAGCTACATGCAGGGTTTAAGCGTGCCAAAAGCTGCAGAGACTTCTGTCAGAACCTTTCCCTATATACTGAAAGCAGACCACATCCCAAGGCAGCTACCCAACTGCTCCAGTAGATTCTACCATGGAGGTGATTGGCAATCTCGTCATGGGGGAATAACTACATCCAGCTGCCCAACCACTCAAAACTGGGCCCAGCCAAGCTGACACATCAACTTAACTACCACAGGTGAAGTCTTACCATCTTTGCTTCTAAAGAGCACTCCGGCCAGGTCAGCAGAAGAGAGGAAGACTCTCAACAAGATGGACTAACACAGTGGCTGCAACAATGAGCTCAAACATGGCAATGATTGTGAGGATGGTGCAGGCCATGGCAGGGTTTCGTTCTGACGTACACAGGGTCACTGAGTCGGAACTGACTCGATGGCACCTAATAAGATTAGACCAGCACAGGTGGCCTTTCCATTCAGGAAATAATCATTGTAGTCAAAGGAACGTGTTGCTCTGAATGAACAGCCTTGAAACATGGGCTGTGTCCCAGTCAGTCAGTCTAGACGGAATTTTTTTTTTTTAATTGTGATTTGGGTGAAAGTTTACAGTTACATTTTCCATACAGCAGTTCACTTACATTTTAGTCATGGCATTGACTGCAATTTCCCACAATGTAACAGCTCTCCTCCCACTCCCTCCCCACAGTTACCTCTTCCACGTGTCCTTCCTTCCCATGCACTTCTGCCCTATGAGCTGTCTCCCTGTGCATACACTGCCCTTCTATTCTCCCATGGTTGTTCTCTTCAAAGAGTGAATCTGTCTAATGTCAATGTTCAGCTCATATGCCTGTCTTTTGTTTGGCTGGCAGCCACAGGAGTGGGTTCAGTTCCAGACCTGAAGGGCAGCTAGGGCCACAATCTCAGTGGGTCCACCAGGTTCTATCAGACCAGCAAACCTGGTCTTTTTTTTTTTTTTTTTTTAATGATTTTGAGTTTTGTTCCACATTGTTCTCCCACTGTATCCCAGATCTCCTACATGGATCCCCTTGGATGGAAATTTTTGATGGAATCAGCTAAGCATGCAGAACTCTGAATAACCCTTAGCCCTCCTGTCATCCTCCCTACAGCCCTGAAGCTGGTGGATTTACTACCCGGCCATAGTGCTGCACTGGCAGGCTCACAGCTGGCCACTGTCTTCCCTCTGAACATCAGTGGCCTCTTTATACTCTGAGGTTCAAGAGCTGGGGGTCCTGGCTGGGGCCCTTACACCATGGTGGTACCAAACCTGGATCACTTTATCACCTTTCCTCCCTCCATCTTTTTCTGAGCAAAGATCCAGGAAGTCATGGATGTGCTGCTAGCTTGGGAACCCAGTACTCCTGTGGTCATCAAGCCGCAACACAAGCTACAAGTCTGTGTAGAGCAGTGACTAGCAAATAACCCTCCTGGTGAACCGGCTCCTCCAACCTGCCTTTGCTGACCCCCATGGACCTTCACAGATGCCTGGGAAATGACCTCCAGCCAAGCCCTGCCAGCCAGCCACCGGAAGCAGCTCATCTGCAGCGAGGTGGAGTTGCTCCTGTCCTTGGTCTTCTCTACCTGACTTCAAGGGCTTCCTAATTAGTCCGGCTGATTCTGTTCTGACCCCACTCCAATCTCTTATCCAAACTGCAGTGAGTACTTTAAAACACAAACCAGACCATGTCGTTAGCTTGCTCAAAAGGCCAACAACTTTCTATCCCACTCAGCATAAATCCATGAGGCCCTGCAAGATGCCTTCATCTAACTGCAGTCTTTTACTGCCACTCTTTCCTGGTGTGTTGCAGTCCAAACCCATGGATCTTCTTGTTGCTCCAACACACCAACCTTTTCTGCCTTGGGGCCTTTATGCCTTCTGTTCCCTTTTCCTGGAATGCCCTTCCCTAGATCTTTGTATGGCTTTCTTATCATTTACTTCTCTGATCAATCATCATCCCCTCACAGAGGCTTTTCCTGACCATCCTAAATAAAAGAGCCCACTCTCCCACCTCAGCACTCTATGCCCTCCTCACCTTGCCTTTTCTTCTCATTACTAACCCCAACCTGCAATGATTTATTTAGCAGTATTGTTGTTGTTTACTTGTCTGTCTCAATAGAATATAATCTTCATGAGAGGTAGGCTGTTTGTATTGTCAATAGTTGCCATCAAGTTGATTTTAAGTCATGGTGACCCCATGTGTTGCAGAATATAACTGTTCCGTAAAAAAAAAAATCAAACTCACTGCTGTTGAGTCAGAGCCGACTCATATCAACCCCTCCTTGAGTTTCCAATGTGGTGTCACTACAGAAGTAGATTGCCAGTCTTCCTTCCGAGGAGTGGCTGGTGGGTTTGAACTGCCAGCCAAACGCAGTCAAATGCCTTAGGCACCACACCACCAGAGCTCCCTAACTGTTCCGTAGGAGTTTTTAAAAAATATTTTTGTTGTTATTGTTGAGAATATACACAGCAGAGCATATACCAGTGCCTAGAGACCATTCTCAAAGCTTCTCCTTATATACAGGAAGCAGACCACATACCCAAAGGCAGCTACTCAGCTGCTCACAGTAGATTCCACCATGGAGTTGATTACCAGTCTCATCACAGGGAATACTCCATCCAGCTGCCCAGCCACTCAACCAGGCCCAGCCAAGCTGACATACAAACATAACCATCACATATGCGGACAGCTCTGGTAGCATAGTGCCTAAGGCACTTGACTGCTCACTAGAAGGCTGGCGGTTCAAACCCACCAGCCACTCCTCAGAAGGAAGGTTGGGCAATCCTACTTCTGTAGTGATACTGCCTTGGAAACCCAAGGAGGGGTCGCTATGAGTCGGGGCCGACTCGACGGCAAACAACAACAAATTAAGAGCTCAAGGAAGACGTTCTTTACTAGTTAAGCCAAACTACTGTTTGCTTTTAAGAACATTTCTGGTTTAAAGATTATCTCAGGTCAATAGTTTCAGGGTGGATCCAGCCTCTATGGCTCCAGAAAATCTGGATTCCATGAGAATTTGAAATTGTTTTACATTTTTCCCATTTTGGTCAGGAATCTTCTATAGCATCTTTGATCAGAATGTTAACTAATGGTAGCCAGGCACCATCCAATTCTTTGGTCTCATGGGAGAGGGAGACAGTTGTTCATGGAGGCGCCATAGGGTTTGCAAAGTAGTGACTTTTCAGATCACCAGTCCTGTCTTCCAAGGCACCTCTGGGTAGGTTCAAACTGCCAACCTTTTGGCTAGTAGTCAAGGGGTTAACTATTGACACCGCCGAGACTCCTTTGACCTAGAATAGTGTCTGAGAAATTGAAGATTCCAAATATTCACTGAATGAATGAATTCAAGTGAGATGACTGACATATCATCTCTGTGTCTTGCACTTTCTCTGGGTGGCCTACACCCTATGAGAAATGGGCAACTGTTCAACAGACCTGTCTGCTGCAGTTGCTGATTACTACATATGCATGAGTTATCACTGGAGTTCTTGGGTGGTGCAAATGGTAAATGCACTCATCTGCTAACCAAAAGGTAAGAGGGTCAAGTCCACCCAAGGGCACCTTGAAAGACAGGCTTGGCAATCTATTTTGAAAAAGTCAGCCACTGAAAACCTTTGGAAGACACTTCTACTCTGACACAAGGTCACCATGAGTTGGCATAGACTCCAGGCAACTGGTACTGGTAAATTGTTTATCACTGTTAATGTCTCACATTTACACTGGGGCAGTATAATTTCCCATGCAGTTTTCTATTATTATTTTTATTTTGGCCAACCCTCACAAGAACATTCTCCCCCATTTCACTAGTGAGGGCCGGGGAGGGCACACACAGAACTGAGCCAGTCCTGGTCCAAGTGTGGTTCCAGAGATGGACAGAAATACTGGTGATGGCAGTGGCTAGAGGAGGAATCTCTTCACAAGAAAACCCATCTCTTTCAGGGCTTGAAGTGGACCACCCTTAACTCCTCTCCAAGGCTGGCTGACCAGTCCTCTCAGTTTCCTGGAAGCAGTTTCTTGGCTTGGAAGTCTTTCCTTAGAAGAGTCCAACTCCTTCCCAGTACGTGTTGGTGCAGGGTCTCCTAGTCTCCCACCTTGGGTTCCTTCTGGTTCTTGTTCACCTCTGCCTCTGGCTATGAGGCTTCCCTGACCACCCTAAAGGGCGCCCCATGTCCAGGAACAATCACATCTGCAGCACTTAGGACCTTCTTCCGGCTCCGCTCTTGGGCCACTGGGTCCTCACTCAGTGCCTGCCAGGAGTCCTCGTCCCCATCGCGTTCAAATACGTCACCCACCACCACCACGGTGCCCAGGGCTGTGTCCCCGACCATCACACTCACATCCCTCTGCCCGCCATGGCCCGGAGTGGCCCACACCTCGAGACTGGGCCCCAGCTGCAGGGGCCGCTCCTCACTCAGTCCGTGGGGCAGGTAGCGGCCCCCTGGGAGGCAGAAGTCGTGAGAGACCAGAAGAGCCGCCCCCGGGAACAGCCCCAGGTTCCCGATGTGATCAGAGTGCCCGTGGGTCCCCACCACTAGAGTCACGTCTTCTGGGGCCACGCCCTGTTCCGCCAGGGCCCCCAACACTGCCTCTCGGGCCCAGGGACCCCCAGTGTCCACGACAATAGGGCCACGGGCAGCCTCCTCCAGAGCTGTCTTCGTCTCGCCGCTTCCGGAAAGGGGCTCTCGGTGACTGGAGCCCAGGGCCCAGTCCTGGGGCAGGACGAGGGTCACGGAACCGTCGGCGCGCACAACATCACCCACCCCCTCGGGCTCCACGTAGCCCTGCAGCAGAACCACGACGGAGTAGGGGCCTCCAGGCACCAGCAGAGGCGGTTCCCCGGGCAGCGGCTCGGTCCGCACTAGGCTATTCATGGTAGGCGAGGGATGGGCTGAGAAAGAAAGTGGGGCCGTGGGCAAACAGTCAGTTTCTCCGCGTTCCCACACTATCCGGCTCCCCCCACTATCCAATGGTATCTTCCATGTCTCGTCATTATCACCCCTTAACCCACCAGCCGCTCCGCGGAAGAAGGGGAGATCTACTCAGTAAAGATTTATGGCCTCAGAAACCCAATGGGGGTCGCTATGAGTGCGAAACAACTCGATGGCAGTGACTTTCGTTTTTTTGGGGGGAGGGGGTTCAGGTAGTATATCCCTCAATCTCAAAATGGTACTTTCCAACCCGCCCTTCTTTTCACGTGACCTGACTGTCCCTCTGCGCCTTCAGCCCGTGCCTACCTCCCGTCGCGTGTGTGGTAGATCCGCCTTCACCAGCCTCCAAAGGCTATCCCTCCCTTCCTCCCTCTCCTCGTACTCTAACCTTACCGGCTCTCGGTTTTTCACCTAAGAACCACGTCCCAGGGAAGAACAAAAATATCGAAAAAAAACAGAAAGATTTTGTCCTCTGCCTGTTTCCGTAAACCCAGGTATGGTGGCCGAACTGGCGCCGTAACGTACGTCCAATTTTTATTTCCGCGCATTACCAAGCTTACGCAATCATAAGCTGCACAAATTCAAGCCTAAATACAGGTTTTTGCCTTGCGATCTCTGCTAACTTCCTTGGACTTCATGATTAGAAAGTACCAGTAGCTTTAACAGGACGGCGGCCATGATTAAAAAACATCATTAGTTTTTAATTGGAGGCGTCCAACAGCACTATTCTCTGGGCGCCGCCATATCGACCAGGTATAACGTGCGCACAGCACTGTGCAGAGAGACTTATTTCTACTTTTAAGTCCTGCCGATAACGATGGGTACAATGTGCATATGTGTATAAAACTTTAATAGCGACATAGAAAATTTGGCACCTATGAAAGTATATGGTGGACCCGCAGTGAAATTAGTATGAAGTAGACCAAGTATCTACCTGCCTGCTGGTAGTGCCTGAGGCACTTGACTGCTAACCAGAAGGCTGGTGGTTCAAACCCACCAGCCACTCCTCAGAAGGCAGATGGGGCAATCTACTTCCGTATTGATGTTGTTGTTGTTATGTGCCATCGATTGATACTGCCTTGGAAACCCAAGGAGGGGTCCCTATGAGTCAGGTCCGACTTGACGGCACTTAACAACAACAATATTCATGCACTGAATAAACAATGACTGAGTACCAGCGTAAACAGATTCAGTTAACTGATAGCTCTTCATCTTGAATACGAAAAATGTGTCACGTAACACATAACAACGACAGTGATACCGACAGTGATACCGCCTTGGAAACCCAAGGAGGGGTCACTGTGAGTCAGATCCAACTCCAGGGCATTAAGTTTGTTTGTTTGTTTTTTAATTTAGCACCATCTCATCCCCATCCAGGGTATATCATCTCCTCGTTCAGTGTGCTGGCACATAGCCTTCTGGATGCAGATAGTGTAAATACACTGTAAACAATGTTCACTTTGGGATCTTCTTACACGGGTCTAAAAATCAGGACCTACAGAGGCAAAGTGACTTTCCCAATGCCCACAGTCCCAAAGCCGCTGCTGATCTCTGGGGGTAGTAGACATTTAAAGGGAAAAGCCTTACATACTGTTGAATGGAGAATAAATTTGCTCTGTAAACTTTACCCAAATCACAATTAAAAAAAAAAAAAAAAAGGTGTGGGGGGGGAGGCTTGGATACTGTGAGCACACAACACCTGCCACTCAAGGTGCTGGATGGCCTACAGTGGGTTCATGTGTTGGGGCAGGACTTCTGCTGCTCCCACCCTTTCCCCGAAATATGCCATGCTGCACCACCAGGATCCTGCCTAGGATCAGACAGGCAAGAACAGCTACAAGCTCTGGGGCAGGTCACTCGCATGCCACACACACCCTTAAAGCTGTGGAGTAGGGAAAGGGCAGACTCCAGAGGGTTCTTCTCTATGACCCCTGCCCTTTCTGGGGGCTTAAAGACAAGGGTCAGAGGTCCTCTGGGTCATGCTTGGGATGGCCTGGCATCTTGGTTATCTCTTCTTTCTCCTCTTCAGGCCTCTCTTCCCCTCCTGTTACCTCTTGTCCATCTGTGATTTCCTCCTTTCCAGTCCAAGTTTCCTCTAGACATGCTAGATTGGGTGAGAGGAAACAATTTAGTTACTGGTCCTGAAGGTAGGGGAGGCTGTAGCCTGGCAGGAAAGGAGCCCAGCCCACATACTTACCAGTTTCTGCGGCTGGGAGCACATGCCCTTTACAGAGAAAATGCTCTAGGGGCTGCTCCTGGTGGTGGAAGTACCAGTCCCCCACAACGTCTTCAAACTCCTCCAGCATTGTTTCACACTGGTCAAGTGGAAGGTCCAGAAAGGTGTGTGCTCTGCTCAGCTTTGGAAACCCTCCTCCTCTCTGCTCTCCACTCCCTGTCTCCCCTTCCTCACCTGACTGACCCTGGAGAGGCAGCCAGCCTAGAGTTGAAGCTTGGCTTACTAGATGTGTGATCCTCATTCATTGCATAAACATTTACGACCACCTACTCTGTGCCAAAGGGAGCTCTGGTGGAGTAGTGCCTAAAGCACTTGACTGCTAACCAGAAGGTTGGTGGTTCAAACCCACCAGCAACTCCTCGGAAGGAAGGTTGGGCAATCTGATTCTGTAGTGATACTGCCTCAGAGTCGCTATGAGTTGGATCTGACTTGACAGCAGTCTGTTTGGTTTTTTTGGACTCTGTGCCAAAGGAGGTCTGGTGGTCCAGTGGTTAAAACATTTAGCTGCTAACCAGAAGGTTGGTGGTTCGAACCCACCCAGCTGCTCCGTAGAACAAAGATGAGGCAGTCTGCTTTTGTAAAGATTTATAGCCTTGGAAACCGAATGAGGGGCACTATGATTCGGAATTGCCTTGATGGCGGTAAGGAGGAGGAATAGTCTGTGCCAGGTAGTTTATTAAACTTCTCTGATGCTCAGCTCCTTGCTTGTAAAATGGGAAATGGTAACAGTACCTATCACAACAGTAGTGACGGTAAAATAAGGCAGAGCTAGAAAGAACAGGGTCCTGAGTATGACACACAGCAGCTGCTCAATAAGCAACAGTAGTTGTTAACCAAAACCAAACTCATTGCCATTGAGTCGACTTGACTCCTAGTGACCCCTCCTTGGGTTTCCGAGGCAGTAATCGGAACAGAGTAGGAGGTGGTAAATGTTTATGGAATGAATGAGGATCACACATCTAGTAGTTGGAGCCGACTCATAGTGACTCCTTGGGTTTCCAAAGCAGTATCTCTATGGAAGTAGATTGCCCCCAGTCGTCCTTCCGAGGAGCGGTTGGTGGGTTTGAACCACCAGCCTTCTGGTTAGCAGTCAAATGCCTTAGGCACTACGCCACCAGAGTTCCCAGTATGGTGGTTATTACTAGTCTCTATATCCAACTTCTTGATATGCTCCCGAGCCCACTTCAGTTGATGGCAGCCTTTGCTTTATCACTTCTGCCCCTTCCTCCCTGCTCAGAGGGAGACATCTATAGTCAGATCGTAGGACCCAGTTCTCTCAGGTCCCTTCTCCCCTCCCCAGGCAATGCAGTATCCTATCCTACCTGCTTCTTGAGGAACGTGACCTCCACGCTGGGCTCATCCCACAGCTCCAGAGGGATCCCCAGGTCCACGTTCACCCCCTTCTGAACGAGGCCTTTCAGCGTGACCATGGTCTGACTCTCGCCCTGAGAGATGGGGAATTTGGGATCAGCCCAGCCCACTGCCCATCTCTTCCTTCCTCTTTCCTACCATATCTGCTTTGTCAGCCACTGGAGAGCCGGGTAAGTTCCATGAAGGCGAGAGGAGGGAGTTTGATGATGGAAAGGAGACAGTGGAAATGGAGGTGGTAGAGACAGGCAGACATCTCTCGTAGACCTCAGGGGATATAAGCCATTGTCTCTGAGAGGGGGAATCCCCCACCGTGGCTGCCTGGGGGAAGCGTCTGACCTTGGCGTATCTCAGTGAACCCTTGCGTTCAGCATGAACGCTGTAATCCAGGATCCGCTCACATAGATTCTCCAAGGCCTCTTCCAGTCTCGTCTCCCTGTGGGAAGAGGGGAAAAAAAGACTCCCTAGATGCCGGAGGAGCTCCCAGAGCTCTTACAGGGGTTGGAAGGTGATGGGGCACCAATGAGACTCACGAAACGCTGTAAGGGACGTGTCTTTTCCTCTTGCCTGTGTCCAGCACCTGCCCCAGCTCCAACATCTCTCGAGACCGGCGGGTGCGGCTCAGTTCTTCCTGTAGTTCCAGACTCAGCAGCTTACAGACTGGTACGGAATAAAGACATCTAAGGAGATGTGAAGGAAAAACAAACACGCCAGCACCTCTCTGCAGGTGACCACAGGCAGCTTAGCGTGCTGGTTACAAGGACAGGCTCTGAAGCCAGTCTGCCTGCTGGAATCCTGGCTCAGCCACCTGGTATGACAACCTTGCTGTGACTCAGTCTGTTCATCTCTAAAACGGAGATCCTTAAAGTATCTCCCTCAAAGGGCTGTGCTGTGTGTGAATATGCGAATATATGGCCAGCCCTTAGAACAACATCTGGCACACAGAGAGTGCTGTGTATGTGTTTGCTGTTATTCTGCAGTTACTCATTGAGCGCCTTGTAAATGCACACTAAAATGATGAAAAAAAAGCAACCAATGGCAGTGGTGCCATTGAGTCGATTCCAACTCATGGAGACCTCCATTGGGTTTCCAAGGTGGTAAATCTTTACAGAAGTAGATTGCCCAGTCTTGCTTCCACAGAGTGGCTGGTGGCTTTGAACCACCAACCTTCTGGTTAGCAGTCAGATGCCTTAGGCACTGTGCTACCAGAGCTCCTTCACTAATGATTAAAACTAAAACCAAACCAAACTCACTGCCATCAAGTTGATTCCGACTCATAGTGACCCCCTTTGGGTTTCCAAGGCAGTAAATCTTTACAGAAGTAGATTGTCCAGTCTTCCTTCCACAGAGTGACTGGTAGGTTTAAACCGCCAACCTTCTGGTCAGCAGTCAAATGCCTTAGACACTATGCCACCAGAGCTCCTTCACTAATGATTAGAGAACAAGAAAACCCATAATCCCTATCCATGGGACACAAGACACTGCCAGTGCAGACAGATAGATAAACAAATGATGACAATATGGCATGAGGGACCCTATACTAGGGATGCAGACCAAGAAACTTAACCTCATAACCAAAACCAAAAAACCAAACTCACTGCCATCAAGTCAATTCCAACTCATAGCGACTCCCACTGAGTTTCCAAGGCTGTAAATCTTTATGGCAGCAGATTTCCTTATCTTTCTTTCACAGAGTAGCCAGTGGGTTCAAACCACTGACCTTTTGGTTAGCAGGCAGATGCCTTATAACTTCATAAGGAAATGCGAAATTCATTCAGTGGTGATCACCTTAAGAGCAAACATCAAGCCTACTCTGCCAGTCTTTCCAGCACCTAGCATGTGACCTAACACTTGGGGGGGTCTCAAGAAAGGGAACAGCCAATACAGAAGTGACAGGCAAACGACTGGAACAGGTAACAAAAGTGCCTGAACTGTCCCAGGCACTGTGCTGGGACCTGGGACTACACAGACAGCCTGTTCCCCAAGGACACAATACAGAGGGAGGTGACAGATGAGGGAAAAGGCTTCCAGGGGAGGTGACATTTTAAATGTCTGGGTCTTAAAGAATGGATAGGTACTTCCTCGATAACAGAAAGAAGAGGGTCACTCCAGGCGAAGGGAGGAATAACATGTAAAGGCAGAGAGGTTGTTCTGGTTCCCTAGTGCCGCTCTGACAAGAAATATATCACAAATGGGATGGCCTTAACAAACAGGAGTTTATGGTTACAATTTGGAGGCTTTAAGTCCAAGTTCAAAGTGCCAGGCTCTAGGGGCTGGGTGAAAGCCCCTCAGCCTTGGTCTTCAGCTCTGCCTCCAGCTCCTGGCCCACTGAAGCTAGAGGTTTTTCTTCACCCAGACAGCCGCTGGCTGCTGAGGCTGAGAAGCCCAAGGCTGACAGGTAACAAGGCACAGCCCCTATATTACCAAACCACACGGCAGGCCATTAGTTCAAGTCCATTGTAAGTCCCAGGGTTGGCAGAGCATGGCAGGCTGCTGAACAACGACACGGCTACATGCAGGGTCCAAGCGTGCCATAGGCTAGAGACCACTCCCAAGGCTTCTCCTTAGATACAGGAGGCAGACCATATCCCAAAGGCAGCTACTCAAGCTTGTGGTAGATCCCACCATGGAGTTGATTGCCAGTCTCATCATGGGGAATAACTACCACAGCTGCCCAGCCACTCAACCAGGCCCAGCCAAGTTGACACACAAACATACTACCACAAAGGTACAAAACAATAAGGCATGTTCAGTGACCAGTGAGAAGATCCAGGTGGCTGAAGTATGGGGCCCTTTTGGGATAGAGGTGGGAAGATGAAAATATAGGAAAGGTTGAGGCCATCCTGTAAAAAAGATAGTACGCCAAAAACATTGGCTGTGTTCTGATCACCGAAAAAACCTATGGGGGGGGGGGTGTAAAACAAGGACAAGGGAATGGACATAATTAAGTCTGTGGTGAGAAAGAATGTTGGGGTGGTGGGGAGGTGTGGGGACACAGAAGGGAAGGGAGAGGATAGTTTAGGACCAGGGTCTGAGAGACACTTACATTGAAATGCAGTAAGGGATGAGGCGAAGAGAAAAAAGGATCCAGAAATGAAAAGAAGGCAAAACACGAGGACCAGGGAGGACCTCAATCACCCAACTCTGAAGTGCCCCCTCCCAGGTTGGCCCCACACTGATGTAACCACAGAAGATGATGTTTGCGGTAAAATCCAGGCAGCGCACGCCCTCAGCAAAGCCTCACATGACGGGGAACGTCTCGGTAGTGTGACCTCCCTTTTATGAGCGTCGAGTGTGGATTGCTCACTCCCAAATCTCCTCAGGGGTGCACAGGTCCTGTAATTTGAGGGCGTCTCTGCTGATGTGGGACAGGATGTCCACAAGGTACGAGCCTCCCACGCTGCTCCAGCAGGCCCTCAAGATTCAGGTCCAGTGACAAGGGGAACACACCCACATACTGAAGATGTTCAGTGCAGTGGGAGGTCCTGGGCAGACAGTTCCTGAACTACAATACCCACAACCATGCGGGCCCAAGCCCTCAAGACAAAGCGGGCTCCCTCTGGGTATCTCATGGGAATTGTAGTCTTGGGGTTGCACTATGCCACTCCCCTCGATTTCTTCTGAATTCTGCCAAGTTCACGGAACCGCCCTCAGGTTTTCAAGGAGGTCGAGTGACCCATCTATCACAGTCCATTTGGTTGTGTCAGTCCTCGTTTTAATACCTCTGCATGAAACCTTTTGATGCATTTGAATTCCGGTGTTAGTGAAGAATTTGGAATATAGCATGGACTGCCAAAAGAAAGCATATATCTGTCTTGGAAGAAGTACAGCCAGAATGCTCCTTAAAAGGGAGGATTGTGACACTTCATCTCACATACTTCAGGAGAGACCAGTGCCTGGAGGCCATCGTGTTTATAAAGTCATGTGAACAAGTGGAAGACCCTCAGCGAGAAGGACTGATAACAGTGGCTGCAACAATGGGCTCACACATCGCAAGGATGATGAGCATGGCGCAGGACTGGGCAGTGTTTCGTTCTAGGTACACAGGGTTGCTACGAGTCTGAACCGACTTGGTGCCACCTAACAGTAACAAACAATACTGATCAGACAACAGCCAATGTTTCTGGCAATTGCATACAAGTCTCTACTGTATGGCCCCAACCTTTCTCATGTTTCTCTCCTCCCACCTCATCCCAAAAGTGGTCCTGGCCCAGGGAGGTGGGGCAAGGGGAATACAGATACGAGCTACTCCCTTTAGATACCTTCGCATTTGCTGGGCAAGCGTTCCAAGTCGTCGTCGTCCTCCTCCTCCGGCGTCCCGGCCGAAGACCCAAACACTACCAACATGAAAAGCAAAATCCCCAAATGCACAGGTCCCATGACGAAACGCGGTCCACAAACAACCACTCTTCTTTTCAAACCAACTTGGGCAAGTCAGCGGGCCCTTTAAATTCACAGGCGGTCGGCGGCAGCTTGAAACCCAGGATGGGAGCGCAAGCGCGTGCGCAGTTCCAACCCCCAAAAAGGAGGCTAGGCCTCATTGCTTCCTGGGCTGTTTCGCCTAGGTTTGGTGGCGCCTCCTGAAGGTCCTGGCCGCCACGTAGTGAAAAAATAAATCAAAGTAATGGGGACAGAAGAGCGTGTTTGTTACGCACATATTTATAAAGCGTTTTTATATAATTCCAGGCCTTGAACTTGGCGCACTTGTTCCAGCTCTGGGGAGAGGCGGAGTGTTACTGTCCTCTGCCCGGACCTGTTCCCAAGAGGGGGCGGGTCCAACATGGCGCCGAGCGCTGGGTGAGCGGCGCTTTGGCGGCGGTGAGAGTTTTTTTTATGTTTGGCTGCTCGGCTGACGGGGCCTGGTCTGAGTGATATCAAAGACAAGACCCCCAGAGGGTCCTCTGTGGGTACCGGGAAGAAGACGGTTGGTTGTGTGTCCCTGCGCGTGGGGACTCCCGTGTGTGTGTGTTTGCATTGAAGGGATGTTGGGGGGAGATGAGATGGGCTCTCAGCCTTTGCCGGCGGTGTACTCATTGCCTCTCTGCTGGGAAAACTCCTACACAACCTTGAAGCCCTAGCTCAAGCCAGGCCCCTGGGAAGTCTTCTCGATGCCTCCACTGATCTGAGGGTCTTCGAGGCTATAGAGAGCGTTAGGATCCTTTATTGGACGCCTATTACCTACCGGGCCCAGTGCGAGGGTAGGAGAAAGACAGATACGGAGTCAGCCTCTAGTGGGAAACGTTCTGAAAAGGACTAGGTACTGGGGACCACGGCGGAAGAGCAATCAGTTCTGTTGGGGAAGGGGGCGGCTTCGCTGAGAGGCGGTGAGTACCGCTGGATGTTGAAGGATTAGTAGTTCTTCAGAGCGCTGGGGCAGGACCGCTTCTTGCATACCCAGCGCCTGGCACAAAGTGTATGTTGAATAAATGTGGTCCATATAGGTAAGACATAAAAATGGGGGAGGAAACCTGGGGTGGTTTAAGAAGAACCCAGTTCTCCTGCGCCTTCCACCTTCCCATCTCCCCAGTCCTCCTGTCCCTCAACTCGGTCCTGAACACAACTGACGTGTATCTCCCTAGTGCACGGCTCCAAGCATACTACTTTCGGCCACAGACTAGATTCCAAGCTTGGGCCTGCATCTTACTCATCTTGGTAATAGTGATTCTGAATATTTATCGAACACATACATAGTATATACAAACATCTCTAAGCTTTACAGTTCATTCAAATATTTATCGGGTGTCTACCTTGCCTTATGCACTGGTTTGGGTTCTTGGAATACATCAGTGAACATAACAGACAAATACCCCTGCCCTCACGGAGCTCACACGGTGGTGGTAAACAGTAAGAAATTATACAATATACTAGAAGATGTAACTTGCTGTAAGGAACTCTGGTGGCACAGTGGGTAAGGCACTTGGTTTGGTTCAAACCTACCAGCTGCTATGCAGGAGGAAGATAAGGCAATCTATTTCTATAAAGATATAGAAGGGAGCTTTGAAACCCTATGGGTTGTTAAAGAGTTGGAATCAAATTGATGGTAGTGGGTTCACTGAGCTCACACTGTTAATGGTAAACAATTAGAAATTATACAATATATTCCAAACCAAAACCAAATTCACCACCATTGAGTCCATTCCAACTCATAGCAACCCCCTTTGGGTTTCCAAGCTGGTAAATCTTTATAGAAAAAGATTGCCCCATCTTTATACTGTGGAGGGCTGGTGGGTTTGAACTGCCAACCTGGTTAGCAGTCAAATGCCTTAGGCACCATGCCATCAGAGGTCCTTATAACAACAACAACAAAAAAAAAAACTCACTTCTGACTCATAGTGACCCTTCCTTGGGTTTCTGAAGCGGTATCTACAGAAGTAGATTGCCCAGTCTTCCTTCCAAGGAACTCCTTATAGAAAATGTTAAATGCTATGGGGAAAACAAAGTAGACCAGAAGGGAGTTTGGGTGGAACATTGAATTGGGTGGTCAGTGTAGGCAGCCAAGCAGACATCTTGGGAAGAGCATTTCAGGCAGAAGGAACAGAGCAAAGGCTGTAAAGCAAGAGTATAGCTGGCAGGGTCAGAGAAGCCCAGAGACGACTGGGGCTCAATCAAGGTGGGAAAGAAGAGGAAAGTGGTCAGAGAGATAATGAGGATGGACAAGCCATGAAGGGCCTTGTAGGCCATCAGAAGGATTTTGGGTTTCACTCTAAGACAGGGGACCATTGCAGGGTTTCGAGCAGAGAAATGACATAATGAAGTTTGCATCCGACAGGTTAACTTTAGTTGCTATTAGGAGTAGATGTGAGGAGGCAAGAGGAGCCCTGGCAGGGAGACCTTGTTAGGAAACTATTGAAGTTATCCAGAGAAAAGATGATGGTGACCTGGGCCAAGATGGTGAGAGTGGAGCAATCAGGTTAGATTACCTGGTTTTCTCCATAAAGGCTGAGCGCCTGGTTGGATAGCATTGCTGTGAGTGAAGATGGGGAAAGCTGAAGCTGGAGCAGGTGGGTAGGAGGAGTTCAGGAGTTCAGTCTTAGCGAAGCCTTTGAGTAGGCAGTTGGATATACAAGTCTGAATTAGGGAGAGCAGTCTGGGCTGGGGATAAAAATTTGGCCATCATTCACCCATAAAAGATATTTAAAACTCTGGTAGCATAGTGCCTAAGGCACTTGACTGCTAACCAGAAGGCTGCTGGTTCAAACCCATCAGTTGCTCCTCAGAAGGAAGATAGGGCAATCTACTTCTGTAGTGATACTTCCTTGGAAACCCCCGGAGGGGTCGCTGTGAGTTGGGTCCGACTCGACAGCACATAACGACAACAACAGAAGTGGTTGAGATCACCAAGGAAACAGATGTAGCTAGAGATGAAGACCCAAGACTGAGACCTGGACACTCCAGTATTAAGCAGATGGAGCAAAGAGGAAGGACTAGTAAAACTCAGAGAGTGACCAGTGGGCAAAACCAAGTAAAGCTGGTCTGGCAGTCAAGTGAGAAAGTATTTTCAGAAGAAGGAAGTCGTCAAGTATATACTGCTGAGAGGTCAAGTAAGAAGAAGACTGCAAGAGGACCTTGGTTTTAGCAAAGTGGAGCAACTGATGATCTTGACGAGCAGTTCCAGGGATGTATGTCTGCCACTGAGTAGATTCTGACTTGGAGCAATTCAGTAGGACAGAGTAGAACTGCCTGGTAAGGTTTCTAAGGCTGTCAGTCTTCGCAGAAGTGTTTGCCATATCTTTCTTCTGAGGAGTGCTGATGGGTCCAAACCACTGATCTGGTAAGCAGCAGAATGCTTTAACCACTGTACCACCAAGGTTCCTTATCAGCCTGGTTGTATGTTTTTCTCATTACATTCAGTTGTACAGCTGTATGGGCTCTGGTGGCATAGTGCCTAAGGCATTTGACTGCTAACCAGAAGGCTGGTGGTTCAAACCCACCAGCCACTCCTAGGAAGGAAGATGGGGCAATCTACTTCCGTAGAGATACCGCCTGGAAAACCTAAGGAGGGGTCTCTGTAAGTCAGATCCAACTTGACGGCAGTGAGTTTGGCTTTTTTTAGGGGGTGGTTTATAGGCTAAGTGGGAGAGTTGTGTTTAACCAGCATTGGATTTCTGTGAGGCAAGAAGGATGATGTAAGAAGGAGCAGGGGAGTTGTGGTCTATGTGTAACCACCTCAGGCACAAAGGCATTATCTGTGTTTCACAGAGAAGAAAACTAAAGCTGAGAGGACTTAAGTAATTTGTTTACTAACAGCCAAGTAGTGGTAGAGATGGGATTTAAATTTAGGTCTGCATTCATGTACTGTAAGGAGCCCTGGTGGCACAGTGGTCAAAGTGCTTGGCTGCCCACTGAAAGGTACATGGCTCAAACCCCCCGGGCAACTGCAGGAGCAAGATGTAAAGATGATAGCCTGGGAAACCCTATGAGACAGTTCTACTCTGTCTTCCAGGGTTGCAGTGAGTTGGAATCTCCTTGTTGATGGTGGGTTTGGATTTGAGTCGTTTACTGTACCTTATTCGGGAGGTGCCCTGGTGACGCTGTGGTTAAACAACTGGCTGCTGACTGAAAGGTCGGTGGTTTGAACCCACCAGGGCATCCTGCAGGTGAAAGATACAGCACTGCTTCTGTAAAGATGACAGTCTTGGAAGCCCCACCAGGCCGTTCTCCTCTGTCCTATAGGGTCGCTGAAACTATATAGTTGGGCTCGACACAATAGCAGTGGGGTTGTTGGGGGGGGTACCTCACTTGTACAGTGCTTGTCTTGGAATTAAAGTCCAGTGTAACTGTGTTGAATTGGGTTAGATTCCTACCCCTTTCTGTTGGAGCTCAGTCCCGACTCACATGGGGGTAGACAGGAGATAGCCTGCGTTCCTTCCCTCCCCACACCTCCTTGGTCTTCCCTTTGTTGTGGCCTCCCCTGACTGAGGGCCCCTCTTCTTTGGGTCTCAGGTTTCTTCTTCCCTCTCCTGCCAGGGTACCCACCTCTCCACCCTGGAGCATCCTCCTTAGGGGGAGGAGGGGAGGGGCTCCGGGATGGCCGAGGAGAAGAAGCTGAAGCTCAGCAACACAGTGCTGCCCTCGGAGTCCATGAAGGTCGTAGCCGAGTCCATGGGCATCGCTCAGATTCAGGAGGAGACCTGCCAGCTGCTGACGGACGAGGTCAGCTACCGCATCAAGGAAATCGCGCAGGTGAGGCAGCCCTCGGTGGAGCTTGTGGCCGGTGGCCCCTTTCTTCCCTGCGACCTTGGGCTGATGTTTCCTTCCTGTCCCCGCCCCCAGGATGCTTTGAAGTTCATGCACATGGGGAGGCGGCAGAAGCTCACCACCAGTGACATTGACTATGCGCTGAAGCTGAAGAACGTCGAGGTGACGGGGATGCACGGAAGGGGCAGGGGGGCTGTGGCAGCGGGTGGGGGCACGCCATCCTCCCCGACAAGTGCATTTGCCTCCACAGGCTTCCCTCTCAGTCCAGTGTCTGTCTGTCTCCCGTTCCAGCCTCTTTATGGCTTCCATGCCCAGGAGTTTATCCCTTTCCGTTTTGCCTCTGGTGGGGGCCGGGAGCTTTACTTCTACGAGGAGAAGGAGGTTGATCTGAGTGACATCATCAATACGCCTCTGCCCCGGGTGCCCCTGGACGTCTGCCTCAAAGGTTGGGGGAGGGGAGAGCAGGGTGGCAGGGCAGAGAGAAGGGGGGTGCAATGCACATGGGTTTGAGGAAAGTCACAAGTGAAATGGCCATGTGGTCATTGTGAGATCCCTGGTGAGTGGTACAGAAGGGGAGGAGGAACAAATCCATCCATCCCTCTGGGTGGAGAGGCTCCTAGTGTCCACCCACAAGCAATTCGACCTTACACCACCTTCCTTCCTTGCAGCGCATTGGTTGAGCATCGAAGGGTGCCAACCGGCTATACCAGAGAACCCGCCTCCAGGTAACCTGTACGCCCAGAGCCCGTCCCTCTGTATTTCACTCCCCTTGCCCCTTCCACACTTGTCACTCCTGCTGTGATTGCTTTCCCATCAGCTCCCAAAGAGCAGCAGAAGGCGGAGGCCACAGAACCCCTGAAGTCAGCAAAGCCAGGCCAGGAGGAGGACGGGCCCTTGAAAGGCAAAGGTCAGGGTGCTGCTACAGCCGACAGCAAAGGTCAGTACTGCTGGACCTGGGCCTCTCTCGACTCTTGCCTCAAAGCCACATGGTCATGTGTGAAGTGGGTGAGGGCCTAAGGGGAAGCCCGGTCTCCCTGGGAAACGGAGGCTTAACGTTTGTCTGGTACTGAGGCCTCTTCTGGAGCGCACTTTTTCTAACTCGTCTTCCCAATTCACACAGGGAAAGAGAAAAAGGCACCGCCCTTGCTGGAAGGAGCTCCTTTGCGACTGAAACCCCGAAGTATCCATGAGTTGTCTGTGGAACAACAGCTCTACTACAAGGAGATCACTGAAGCCTGTGTGGGGTCGTGCGAGGCCAAGAGAGCAGTGAGGAGCCCCACCTTCTGGCCCTTACTCCAGGAGCCCTCTGTGAACCCCCCGATTGCTCCCACGATCCCTGCCTCACCTCCCTCCCTCCCTCCACAGGAAGCTCTGCAGAGCATTGCCACAGACCCGGGCCTCTATCAGATGCTGCCACGGTTCAGCACCTTCATCTCGGAGGGGGTGAGGCTCTGGGGAGATCGGGGCCCGGCATGAGGCATTCTGAGGGGCCAAAGACGGCAGGAGCAGTTCTCGGGGGGTCTCACTGCCCCATCACGCCTCCCTTAGGTCCGTGTGAACGTGGTGCAGAACAACCTGGCTCTGCTCATCTACCTCATGCGCATGGTGAAGGCGCTGATGGATAACCCGACGCTGTATCTAGAAAAATACGTGAGTGGTCCCGCCCACCCCCCTCTCTTCCCAGGGATCTGGTCTGTGGGACCCACCAACTCGCCTCTCCTCGCTCAGGTGCATGAGTTGATCCCGGCTGTGATGACCTGCATCGTCAGCAGGCAGCTGTGCTTGCGACCAGATGTGGATAATCACTGGGCCCTCCGGGACTTTGCTGCCCGCCTGGTGGCCCAGATCTGCAAGCATTTCAGCACAACCACTAACAACATCCAGTCTCGAATTACCAAGACCTTCACCAAGGTGAGCAAGAGCATGGAGCAGAACTGTCCCCTAGCGATCAATGATTGCCCCACCCGAACCAGTAGTGGGTCTGTCTGGGCTGAGAAAATGACACTGAAAATAAGGGGCAGAGGGAAGGGACCTGGAATTTGGGTCTAAAGGACCTTAGCTTCATCGGTAACATCCTGATTGGCAAGGTGTGTTTATGAAATCCTTGGGTCCTTAATGATTAGCCTTTCCCCACCCCTTGACCTGAATTTCTCTCCTTCCCCACAGAGCTGGGTGGATGAGAAGACCCCATGGACCACGCGATACGGCTCCATTGCAGGCCTGGCAGAGCTGGGACATGATGTTAGGCCCCCGGTGGGAAGAACCAGGGGAGGGGAGCATCCCCCCAAGCTGGGAGGCGGGGTGGTAACCCGGTGGCCCGGCCTTTTCTTCCCATCCTTTCCAACAGGTGATTAAGACTCTGATTCTGCCACGGCTGCAGCAGGAGGGGGAGCGGATCCGCAGTGTCCTAGATGGCCCGGTGCTGAGCAATATCGACCGGATCGGAGCTGACCACGTGCAGAGCCTCCTCCTGGTGACCAGAGCCCCTGCCCTTCCCACCTGCTCCCAGCTTCTTCCCGCTAATTCCTCCACACACACAGATATCATGGATAGCAAGCACAATGATGTATTTTATTCAGACACTCCAATCTTTTGTTTCGTATATTGAGCAGCTAAAGGATAGAGAGTTAAATCAGAAATCAGAGGTCTGACCTCTCAGCCGGTACCTTCTGGGTTGCACTGTCCCCTGCGGTGCTTCTGCATCACTTTCTGGCCCATGTTGTGCAAACACCCCATGGATCAACTACCCCCTTCAATATTGCTCACCAGCATAACTGGTAAATTCTCCAGTCACCCCACTTGCTGCCCATGCTTCCTTATGAAGAAGCCCCCCAGCATTCCTTACACATACATACAGCAGACTTGGTCTCCAACAGGAACATACTGAAATCATGGCTACTCTCCTTTTTCACCCCTTCCCCATCAATCTCCTGGGAGTCCAACCTGCCCTCTACCTGGGTTTTATTTGCCTTTTCTCTGCAGAAACACTGCGCCCCAGTTCTGGCAAAGCTGCGCCCACCACCTGACAATCAGGATGCCTATCGGGGAGAATTTGGGTCCCTCGGCCCCCTCCTCTGCTCCCACGTGGTCAAGGCCCGGGCCCAGGCTGCTCTGCAGGCCCAGCAGGTCAACAGGACCACTCTGACTATCACTCAGGTCAGTGACAGCGTGGAGGAGAAAAGGTAACTAAGAAGAGAGACAAAGGATGAAATGAAGAAAAACCTAGGGGGGATGGAGCTGCTGCTCGCGTCAGGACAGGGCCTCGCTCGCATAGACACGTACACCCAAGACACACGCACTCACTTTTTCAAGCCTCAAGACTCTGAACTGAAATCTTGGGGGAGTCTAAGCCACCCATGAATAATGTCCCAACCCCAGGTTTTCTTGAGGTGACTTTTCCTTCTGCCTTTCTGTGCAGCCCCGGCCCACGCTGACGCTCTCCCAGGCCCCTCAGCCTGGTCCTCGGACGTCTGGCTTGTTGAAGGTCCCTGGCTCCATTGCACTGCCTGTCCAGACGCTGGTGTCTGCTCGGGCTGCCGCCCCTCCTCAGCCTTCCCCTCCTCCAACCAAGTTTATTGTGATGTCCTCGTCCTCTAGTGCCTCATCTACTCAACAGGTACGGGGAGCCGTGTGAGTGAAGGGGTGGTGAGGTGCACATCCCCAGCTGCCCAGAAGGGCCCACGTTACCTCAGAGCACGCAGGGGACACCCCTAAGGAGAACCCACTCGTTCTGGTCCCAAAACACGAGGAAGGGACTCTTCCAGGGTCCCGTGGGGCGCCGGTTGCTCAGTCCGAGCCAGCCTGTTGTGCTGGCAGCTCTCTATAGGACCCTGAGCACGTGCCCACCTGTACCCCCACCCTCTGGGAGAAGGTCCTCCTGTGGGGCGAGCTCAAGGCAATTGGCCCTGCCTTTTCTTCTCCCAGGTTCTGTCCTTCAGCACCTCAGCTCCTGGCTCGGGCTCTACCACTACCTCCCCTGTCACCACCACTGTCCCCAGTGTGCAGCCCATTGTCAAGCTAGTCTCCACAGCTACCACCGCACCCCCTAGCACGGCTCCCTCTGGTCCTGGCAGCGTCCAGAAGTACATCGTGGTTTCTCTTCCACCAACAGGGGAAGGCAAAGGAGGCCCCCCCGCCCATCCTTCTCCAGTTCCTCCTGCCGCATCATCCCCTTCCCCCCTCGGGGGCAGTGCCCTCTGTGGGGGAAAGCAGGAAGCTGGGGATAGCCCCCCTCCAGCCCCTGGAACTCCAAAGGCTAATGGCTCCCAGCCCCCTGGATCTAGCTCCCCTCAGCCTGCTCCTTGATGCTGTCACACACCTGCTGACCATCTTCTCTCCCATTGGTTTTTATACATAAGCACATAACATGCCGGGTGGAAGGGGGCAGCAGCCCTCTTCTCCCACATTCTTTTCTTCCTAATACTGTACAGTTAGTTCTTCAGAATAAAAGTTTGATTTGTAAGTTCTGCTCCATCTGAATCTTCCTGTATCAGATGCCATGTAAGGGCGGAGCCTATCAAGCTTTCCTGGCTTTCAGGATCCAGGACTTCTATCCAAGATGTGTGGGCCAGAAGGCTGAAAAACCCAGTATCACCCTTTACCTGTTCTACAGCGTCCTCATTCAAGGACAGTCAGATCCGAATGACATAGGCATCGCTGTGGCTTAGGTGTCGCACCCACTTGTGGGGGTTGGTGTTGCCGCAGGGTCTGAACGCAAGCCTGAGGAAGCGAACCTGGAGGCCAGAGCACGTGTGCCGAGGAAGTTCAAAGGAGAGGCTTGCAGGGCCCAGCCCTAGTGGAGGGGCTGAGGTGGAGGGCCCATGGCTAGGAGGGCCAGAGAGGCCTGGGACATCCATCTGTGAGGAGAAGAGGTAGAAGGAAGGGTGTTGAAGGGATAGAGAGGAAAGAGGGCAGGGAAGCCAAGAGGCCGGGTAGTAACGGTACAGCACCTGCATTGGGAGGGATGGGCCAGGGGCTGAAAATGAAGGTTGGAGGGGAGGGTGTTCGAGAATCAGCAGCTGATACCTGGAAAAGGCCTGACAGCTGAGAGCCTCCTTGTACCCGAGGTAGGTCCCAGCGAAGGGCTCCTTCCCCCAGCTCTGCCTTCTGATCTGGGCTGCTCAGCTCCTGAGATAAGCTGGAGACGAAGGGCTCTCAGCCTCGCCTTCCGGGGCTGGGCCAGTTGTACTCCAAAGCTCACACTCTTCCCTGTTCTTCAGGGAGCTGGACAAATACCACCCAACACCTCGGGGTGCACACACACTAACCTGATGACCCCTCGTGGCAGGGGAAGGTACAGCCTGACATTGAGAGCTTGGCTGCAAATGAAAGAAACCAAGTCAGCCCCAAAAGGTGTAAGCACTTGGCCCCATTCTTTAATGTCACAACTGGAGTTCAGCAAAAGTACCACCCCCTTCCCCTTCCCAAACTAGAAGTCTCTAACTGGGTAGGATTCTGAGGCTGGTTGGAGGCACATGAGCAGAAGCAGGTATCTTGACCCTGTTTCCTCTTCACACCGCTGAACTATGCCTGGCCAGGCCCAACTCTTACCTCTTTGGAGGCAGATCACATCGTAACTTCAGATAAATCTGGAGCCTGGGTGAAAGAATAAAATACCATTACTTAGGACGTGTTCTACTGACACCTCACCATCAGACCTCCGTGCATGGCTGTGTAATTGTACCCCAAGGGGAGAGAAAGTGCTGAAATCTGGCCCAACTTCAGCACCAAGCCTTGCATATGTGGGGCTGAGGCCACTTGGAGGGGTTGGTGGTGGTGGTGGTATATGCCGTTGAGTCGGACCCGACTCATAGCGACCCTTCCTTGGATTTCCGAGGCAGTATCACTATGGAAGTAGATTGCCCCATCTTCCTTCCAAGGAGTGACTGATGGGTTTGAACCACCAGCCACCTGATTAGCAGTCAAGTGCCTTAGGCACTACGCTACCAGAGCTCCCAGGGGGTGTGCCTTTCTCTAATTCTCACCTATTACCGCTAGCACGGCCACCCCTCCGGTAATAAGCCTTGGGAACATACATGCATTGGCTTGGGTTCCAGAGAAGTTCTAGAACAGGGGGAATGATCTCACCTGCCTGAGCTGCGGTCCCACTGCACAGAGGGAAAGAGCCGGAAGGGGAGAGGGGAAGGGAGATCATCTGAGAGTTGGTACCGCATTACAGTCAGCTGAAGTCAGAAGCAGAGGTCAGTTTGGTCTCCTCACACCTGAACTGCTTCCCTTTCCCACGGTGGGCCACCCCTCTCCTGACCTCTCCTTGAGGTGGTTGCAGGCGGAGGATTCGATGAGACTCAAACTCATCCAGAAGCACCGAGCTGTGAAATGAGACCTCATCAACCCGAATTCCTGGCCCATAACCTGCAAAGACAGAAAGACACCTCTCCTAACCCATACTTTAAGAGGGAGCAGTGGTGGGGATGTTGGGGAATCTGTCTTTAATACACCTAAATGCTCCTGCTCTACTCTAAGATAATCTGATTTCTCTATATGAAGTCTTTGGCATTGCCTATACATAAGGAAGGAGCTCTGGTAACATAGTGCCCAAGGCACTTGACTGCTAACCAGAAGACTGGCGGTTCAAACCCACCAGCCACTCCTCGGAAGGAAGGTTGGGCAATCTACTTCCTTACTGATACCACCTCGGAAACCCAAGGAGGGGTCTCTATGAGTCAGGTCTGACTCCACAGCACGTAACAACAACATACATAAGGAGCTCTGGTGGCCTAGTGCCTAAGGCATTAGACTGCTAACCAGAAGGTTGGTGGTTCAAACCCTCCAGCCACTCCATTGAAGGAAAACTGGGCAATCTACTTCCATAAAGATTTACCACCTCGGAAACCCAATAGGGGGGGTTGCTATGAGTTGGAATTGACTCAGTGGCAGTGGTTTTGGTTTTATACATAAAATACACCCACTTTCATCTTACCTCTTAGTTCTGACTTTCCCACACAAAATTCCTCTGTCAAGCCAATGCGCATCTCTGCCAAAAAAGAACATCAGAAAAAAAAATAACCAAACACCACTGTATATACCACCAAGGAGCCTGTCCCTCCTTAACCCTGGGTCTAGCCTGCAGACTTCTCACCAGAGCCACTAGGAAGAAAGCTCTTGAGTCGGATCTCTCCCTGCACATCCACCTTCAGTAGTGAGCCCTGAGTGACAGGGAGGTTAATGCTCCGAATTTGATCGCCCCCACGTTTCCCATATACCATCTGTCTCAGCTCCAGGGTTGGGGATCCAAACTTACATTCGATGCGATCAGTACAGACAATCTCTCAACCACATCCAGAAAAACTTCATTCTTTTGACTCTGAGAAAGACATAAAGTTTGAGTGGTTGGAGGCCGAATGGGCTGCATTCTAAAATGGGTAGGCTAAAAAGCCTGGGTAGTTGTAGCTCGGGCCCTGGGGTAGGGGTATGGGAATAAGGGAAGGGATACCGAGGTGTAGGGAAGTGGAAAGAGATGCCTGGGTCCTGGACTCTGGAGGCCCTCCCTCACCTGCTCAGAGCGACTGGAGAGGACGGGGCGGCTGGCTGCACTGCTGGGGGCCACTTTGCTCTGTTGTGTCTCAGCCCCAAACTGTAAAGCACCGAAAGCAATCAATTCTCTGACACTCCTAGCCAACCCTCCTTTTCCTTCCTCATCGTCTCTTTACCCTCTACTGACCAGACCAACACTGCTGAGGTCAAAGAGGCTGAAGGGCTTGCTGACCACAGCTTCGGTCTGGATGAAGTTCCTCAGCATTTCGGTGGATGTGGTCTGTACATACCCATAGTCCTATTGGTGAAGGAAGGAGGGTCTTTGAGTGTCAGTGGAGGGGAGGGGTGATGATAGAAAGGGGAACTTAGCTTCCCAACTTCAGGATCCCTCCGTAGACGAACGGATTGATCAGGGGAACGGGGCAAGTGAGGGCAATCCTTGGCGCTTACCAACACTTCATCCAGTAGTTCATAGACAAGAGCCACATTGCGGGAGATGGTCCCCTCACCCAGGGAGCCACAGTAATCGCCCAGGAGGGTGGCCAACCTGAGGAGACAGGAAGAAGTGTGCTATTGTCCTCTCAGATTCCCCACTCCCAGGTGCCCAGCCCAGCTCTCCTCACCGGGAGAGCAGCTCCAGGAGGCTGAAGGGAGATACGTTTTCCAACGTCGTGGCCACCAAATAGAGGCCGCTGTGTCTGATATGAATAAAATGACGGTCATCGTGGTGCTGAGGCAGAGGAGGAAAAACAGCTAATGGTTAAGACCTGAGTTCACATCCTAGCTCCCTTCTTAGCAAGCAGTGTGATTTGGGGGTGTATATGAAACCTCCCCTAAGCCCCAGCACCCTAAGGGGTGAACGGCGTTAACAGGAGGAGCTACCAGAGTTTTCTGAGGATTGAGGCATAAAAGGAACTGTGCCTGTTATATTACTTTCACGTAATGAACTTTGCTTAATATTATTCGGGAAAATGTTCTTCGTAAATGCAAGCGTTAGGGGAAACAGCCCTGGGAAGGAAGTGGCGCCCACCTGTTCCTGCCACCCCCTTCATACCCCCCCATGCCGACCCCCTCACAGTGGTTACCATGACAACCGGCGACTCGTCTCCAGGCAGTCCCGTCAGCTTCCGGTAGAAGAGCTCAGCCACATCCCGGCCGCCACTGTCTCCGCGTACTGACCGGGTGGGAGGGCAGTTAAGAAGCTGGCTTTACAAGCTGGCTCTGGGGCACCACTCCCACCCATTCCCTCCACTCCCGCCCCGGGGTTCAAGGATACAGTCCTTGTAGATGAGCGGGTCCCCCTTGGAGGACAGAATGAAGAACTGGGAAATCATGGCCGATCTGGAAAGTAGACAAGAAGACAAGACTGCGAAACCTGGGCCTGCCCCGCCCTGCGGCCCCGGAACAAAAGGAAGCGCGTGGGCTGGCCCTTTAAGAGCGACTCTCCTCCTTCCGCGCCAGCAGGGACCGCGGGAAACTGGGCGCCCGCCCAGCCTCGCCGCGCCCGGACTTCCCTAGGCAACACCCCCGCTTCCTCCTTGTCACTCTGCCCA